ACCAGAGCCCTTTGTCAGAAGCTCCATTCATTTCAAGAGGACAGCTGAGATCCTTCTGTCCATGTTTTCCTAAACTGGAGCAGATTTAGTCACTTCCTTTGTGATCACACAGCACCGGGACAGGTCACCCTGACCTGCCCAGGTCTGTGCTGCACAGAGCAGCAACATGTGGTGAGCAGCTCACACTGACACAACATTCTCTGTTCTGGGTCTCTGGGTTCCCCAAAAATCCACTTGTGGAACAAAACCTGGCCCTGATGTCAGAGCTGCACTGCAGATAATCCTCTTTCACATTGGTTTTTCTCCTGCCCGCTGACTGAATGCAAAAGGCCTTTTTCTCTGTCTGCCTTACATCCACCTTAACTACTCAGGACAGAATGAAGCTACTGACCAAGATTTAATCATCCCAACGACCTTCTGCAATGGCCACTGGCACTAAACAAGCTCTAAAAGCATTTCTTCCATTTTTCTACTTCATGCCAAGTAACCCAGTGTTATCCAGTCCCCACCATATTATGCAGCAGCATCTGACTGCATCAGAAATGAAGCACCTCTACCATCTAATCTTAAACCAGTCTGGCCTGAGGTTCATAGAAATGTGTAAGTACCATCTAAGAGCTAATCCATTCATACTGGTTTATGTCACCAACCTGCCTTTAAATGACTACACAGTTTCAGATTTTCTCATTTTTCCTTGAAGCTCCTGCTGTAGCACCACCAGGGCATTCATTCACAGCTGCTTGCACTGCCACAGAATGAAGTTTTCTTTATTACATGTGCCCTGTCCTGAGGGCTATGAATGAGTGCAGCAGCTTCTCAAGATGCATTTTCATGGATCCCAGGCACAGAGCACTACTAGAGGAATATGATGAATAATCAAGTAGATTAAGTGACCTTAATTGCTTACTTTGACACAACCAGCAATTAAACAGCTTTTAAAAGCTATCAGGAGCTATCCATAATCTTTTTATTACAGCAAGTGTCCTAGGCTTCCAGTGAGATTTGATTTTTAGTAAACAAAATCCTACAAAGCTAATTGTCAGAACCACTTCAATAACATTCATGTATAACAACATGAGCCCTCCAAATACCAGACCCTGTGCAAGTGAATGAAGGAAGATTTCCCATATTGGTATCCCTGTACCTCACAAGCACATTTTTCCTTTCCCAAGGTGAGAAGCCCCTTGTAAGCAGTAACAGCTTCCTCCAGCAGAGCCTCAAACCCACAGGCACATTTTTGAGTAATCCCAGAAACTATCCTGGAGCTCTTCACATGCTTAAATTTAACAAGGTGTGTAAAACTTAGCAGGACTCATGCTGGGATTTAGTCATTCTCTCACAAATGCATTTTGGTCAAGGGGAAAGTGTTACAAAAGCACTGTGTAATTGCTGCAAAATATTGAAACTTGGGATGGTGGGAAGCTCTCCAGATACACCCAGCCAGTTTCTGAAGTGACTTTAATAATAACAGGAGAAAATAACCCCCTATACCTCAAATGTTAGCATTTTTTCCCTTATGGATGACTTTCACACTTCTTTAAGGAATAAAGCTGTAAAGTGCAATACTCTTTAAAAACCTAAGACATCCAGACCACATTTTTTGTAGAAGGAACAGGGAGGAGGGCAAACACAGCTACCTGAGCTGCCACTTGTTCACATGCTATTGACTGGGAGAGAAGGGCAATGAGCACTGCCCAAGCCAAAGCCACCCAGCAGCTCACTGGGCTGGCCAGCTCCTTTGTGGAACTGCTTTATTATCTTTGCATTCTATCCACAGGCTGCCTGCTTCCTCACACAGCCCAGAGAACCAGTCAGCACTTCTCACAAGTGCAAGGCACAAAGCTTCTGGCTCAGCAATCACTCCCTGCCACAGAGGAATTGCTCCTCTCCAGGTGGGGAAGCCATCCAAAAGCGATGAAAAATAATCAGGCTAATTAATTCTTATCTGCAAAGAGCAATTACACAACTGACCTCAAGCAGTTGGGGGAGGTGAGCATGCTGGAACTTCACAGTGACCAAAGGGACAAAGGCACAGCCCCAAATCCTTGCACAGAGCATCCCTTCCACTCTCCCAGGTCATCCTCACAAAGGAACTCTACACTGGAATTTAGTTTTTTTTACCACAAAAGGATTTTCAGAAGCTGCAGCAGCAGTGTCTGTTAACTGGAAATGCAAACCCCCCTTGCTTTGCAAGCCAGCCCTTTGCCAAAGAAATAGTTAATTATTCTTCAGGCTTCTATTTTATGTTTAAAATTGGACCTGATGATTCAAAAGCATTGAAGTTTTGTTACCCATTTCTAACCAAGAGTTCTACACAGTGAAATCCTGAAGCATCACCAGGACCAGATCTCAGCAGTGCAGCACTCACTGGATTTAATGCTGATCATTAGGAAGTGCTATCAGTTATGAGCCACAATTCTACTGCAAGAGTTTTCTCAGAGTTCTTTTGCCTTTTCTGCATTGGAATGTTCATCCTCTTTGCTGGACCAAGAAATGTGCAGCAACTCTGTTTGAATTAACTACATGAAACATAACCAAAGGTAAATCAAATCCAGTACCAAGTGTAAACTAACAAGAATCAATAAGAAAAAAAGGCTTTCAAATATTCTTTTTGTGACAGAGCCTTTTAATAGAAATTTGTCATTTCAAGGTGAAATGAAGTTTTTATCAAAATCAGTTTGGTTTGGGTTTGTTTTAAAATAAATGTCTTTTCCTCAGCCAACAGAGAGCCAAAAAGAAAGTAATAGTGCAAAGTAAAGACATACTTTTCTTTATATCTGTCTTTGAAATATTTCTGTGTCCAACAGGAAAAGTGCAGAACAAAGCAAACTTCAGAACAGGGTTACTGAGATACTGAGGTATGAAAAGCTATTACACAAAGGTTCAGAAATTGCAATTGTTTTCACTAGAGACAAATGTTATTGAAATAATGCAATAAGGCAAAAGCACTGTGAGAACAACCTCATGTTCCATAAACAGATATTGTAATATCCTATAAAGTAACTGGCTGAATTCAAAGCACACAAAGAAAGATCCTATAAGGAATATGATGACAGCAGCACTGCTTTTCACATCCATATAAAGTATTTAGCATTGGGATTTTTAATGTGTAGCCAAAGCCTGAACAACTTAAAATAGGATATTTTCCATCCCTGTTAGGAATCTTCCAACACAAGAATCAACCTCTGTTCTCTGTTTATACCAAAATCTCCCAAGAACCAGCCTTGCACAGCTGCATTTGTAGCACTGACATAAGGTGGAGCTGCTTGGGAATGTCTTCCTTCAGTAAGATACTGAAGTAATTCAGTCTCAGGTTTGGCCCCTAGGATTTTCTCATTTTCCTAATAAATCTCAAAATATTCAGAATGGTTGTCATATTTAATTGTTTTTTCTATGAAACTGAAGGAAGTTTACAGCTAATCTTTAAAACATAAAGCATTTAAAGTTTTGATAAAAGAGAGAAAAAGGCCAATAGTGTAACTTTCTGTGAGGGGAATATATTTGAACAACACATAGCTGTTTAAAATCATTTAGGAAAAAAAAACCCAAACAAATGTCGTGGTGGACAAATTCTGTTGGAGTCCTGTGCAAATCACAAGGTGTTCAAGCAACCTCCAGAAGGGCAAGGGGAGAATACAAACATTTCTGACAGGAGAGACAGGAATCTTTTCAAAATTCAGACTCATGTTAACATGCTTTGCAATACAAAATGGACAGCACAGATAGGTCTGAGATTACCTTTAAAAAAAAAAAAGAAATATTGCCCAAACATCAATACCAAAGTCTTTTTGACACAGGGAGAGAAGAAAAAAAAATCAATGAAAACCAATTTATATCTACTGCAAATATAGAATATTGAGGCAGAAAGATGTCACTCACTTCCACACATTCACCTGAGTGATGCATAATCAGCACTGTGAAGGTGAGAGCCTTGGGGAAAACAGAACCACACATGAGGAACAAAGTTCCCTTCAGCAGATATTCAGAACTCCAACACACAGGCACCACAAAACCTCAATCAGGAGCACAAAAATGAAGCTGAGTCTCATCAGTCCAAGGCCACCACGGGGTTGTGGAAGGAACAGCCAGCACAGTCTGTGAGCAGAAGCTGCTGATGCTCAGAGCCAGTAATTACTGACACATGTTCAACACAGGAATCCATCTCTGCTGAGGACTTGGCTTCTTCAAAACCAATCTCCTCCACCTCAATTTATTTTGCTAATTGAATTAGCCTGTGCTTAATTTGATATTCTATTTTCATTTCAGTCTGACAAAAGGAATGATGCACAGACTGTATTCCAAGCACAAACAAACAACCCACCTGTGATGAGCACCCAGAGTTTCTCAGCAGAGTTTCCAAGTGCCCCCTGTTCCATCCAGGGCCTCCTGTGGGGCATCCCTGCAGCCAGGGGAGCTGAATGTGTGGAGAGAGACAGAACTGAACACAGGGGGGATGTGGAATAATCTGCTGGTGATTGTTACAGTCACTGCAGTCAGCAACACACAGCTTTTCATTTCATCAAATCACTGAGTGAGGTGCAGAACTGGGAGAAGGAATTACAAATATCCTGAGCTGGAAACCCACAGAGATCAGCACAGCCCAACCTGTGGCTCAGGACACCCAACAATCCCACCCTGAGAGCTGTCCCAGCTCTCCTGGAGCTCTGGCAGCCCTGGGGCTGTGCCCATTCCCTGGCACACAAAAGATTTTTCCTGATCTCTGCAGGAAGAATCTTTGCCCAATGTCCAAACCTCCCCTGAACACGTGGCTAAACAAAACAAATCCCAAACAACAGAAGAGCAAAGTTTGCTCAGTAGAAATCATAGAAAGTTAACATGAAGAGAAACATTCCTATATGTATAATTAATATCTAGACCATAATACATTACAATTTTATAATGCACTTAAAGCTTTTCTGAGGATGGACTGCAGCATTAGAGAAAAACAGCAACATGCATCAAGTACACAGCAGAGCACAGCATCAGCTACAGAACTACAGGACTTTTTTGACTTCTCACAAGCTGTTTGTGCCACCTGAAACTTGCAGAGTGCAAAAGCTTTGCAGATAAAATCCAGCCACCTTCTAACAGGATTCTTAGATAGAAATAAACCAGAAACTGAGAGTTTAAAATAGATTAGAAATATTAGGAGGTTGCAGCTCACAAACACAAGGACACAAACATAAAATCAGTCAACTTTCACACATCACCATTAAAGTTTCTAACCCAAAATATATTTGTAAACTACTATTAAATTTAGAAGCTGTCTGTAAATAGAGCAGCTACACAAGCCCTGCCCTGCAGACTGCTGGCCCTGCCCTGGGGCTGGTCAGTGCTGGGCATGACTTGAGAAGCTCAGCAATCCAACAACTTCATTAGTGTGTTGGCAGCTCCAGGATTCTAATGAATTTTTAACTTTCTCCTAATCAGTTTCAAGGGACTATTTGTATTTTCCCTCATCAGATCCCTAATGGCACTTTTCACTCAAATTGCCTTTATTTTACTTAATAAGGCTGTTTTCCTCTCTAGAAAACACTTAGTAAGAAGTTATTTGCAGCAATCAGATAGATTATTGATGTAAGCACAATTCTGCAAACTGACCTGTGACACATCATTCCATTTTTGTCATATACTGGTACAGAGCTCTGCAGAAATGATTTTATTTGCAAGTTTGGTGTCAGTGATGGTCTTCCTGCCTGACCTTTTTGTGGGTTTTACTTTCTGCAGCTTTTAAGGGAAATGTTGTTCAATATAAAGGTATCTTTCTTAATTCCATAACAGGGGGTTTTGGCTCCCTCTGAGGTTGGCCAAGCTTTGAAGGCAGCATTAATAACTGAGTTTGTGTCAGTGTGACAAAACTCAAATACAGCAACTGTAGCCCACTACCTCAGAGGCTTTTCAAGTCTCCTAACAGCCCCTGTACAACAAAATGTGTTTCTGTAATGTCCCATGATTTATGCACTCTCATTCTTTGATTTCTGCTCCATTCTGATTAAAGAAAAAAGCAAATACAGGTAAGAACATGCTCCCTATAATTAACACCAGAATCAGTCTTCAATTCCTTCCACAGATAACATTTTTCCCTCAGTTTATCAATCTGTGATTCTGTTCAGTCTTTACACAAACCCAGAGATGTAAATGCAGCTGAAAATCTCATTCCATTAATTTTCTTCCTTTGTAAGAAAAGACTGCAAGGCAATTTTCCCCCAATAAAACAGCAGCAGTAATTGCAGAGGCAGGGTTTTAGTGCACAAGAAGGGAAGAAAAACATCACTCACAGCTGTAACTGAATAAAGCAAGATTAGGATGGATGGAAGCAGGGAAGGAGAGAGGATCACTGGACATCCAAAAGAGACACATTTTTGTATCTAAAAATATTTTTTCTTTCAATTCCCAATACAGAATTTTAAAAACAAAACTCACACTCTTTGAGAACACCTGGTGTCAACTCACCAATTAAACACATCAATTAAACACATCAATACTGCCCTGCAGCTTGGAACTCACCTTTGCTATTTTACACCACAAAGATCTGATATCAAAGAGTAATCAAAATTTGAAACAAGTGAATTTCAAACACCTACTAAGTATCATCACAAAGTTTTTTTTTTTTCCTCTTAACACCTCGTTGTTGGTTTTTTTATTATTAGGAAGATATGAGGCAGAATAGGCAAATGAAGAAAAAAGTTCCTAAAATCAGCATTCTGGAAGCTCATAATTTTAAGTTAAACCCTTAATATCCTATTTCTAGTGCTCAATAGGCTTTACATTTGTCACCAAAAATAGGTATTATTTGCCTAAGATCCCAGAATAATTTGTCATAATAATCTGAATAGCTGGATCAGCTTTTTCCTCAGTGCTTTTCTGCATGCCTACAAGGTGAAAAGGTGTTTCACATCCCAGATCAATGTTCAGCCCACAGCTCAATCCCAAGCTTGCAGTGCTGCTGTCATTTCCTGGGCTTGCCACTGGTTCCCAGCCTCAGAGCACCTCCCTGGTGTGACAGAACAAACCACATGAAAGCAGTGACAGGAATAAAAAATAAAAACGAAAAGTCAAAGGTCCCACCCTTCTGAGGGTGTGTTTAGGTGAGTTCCTGGTTATCACACGGACTCAAAGTGTGCCAGAGGCTGTGGGGACACTGGAAAGGAGAAGGGCAGAGCAGCAGCAGCTGTGGGAGCTGGAAGATGAAGGCAGAGGCACTGCTACCCTGGCAGCCCTGCAATGGCTCTCACAGAACACTCTGCACATTCACCAGGGCATTCCTACACTTCCATCACAGATCCTCTTCTGCCCATGGCTTTTGGAAGCTGTCCTAAAAAAGAACAACAAATACCTTATTCCTGCATTTCCTGTATTTATTTGTAATTCAACATTATAGGTTTATGCCCTAAGTATTGAGTATTGCCAACAGCACAACTTATGATTCTGCTTAAAGTAATTCTCCTAAATCACATTTTTAATGTATCAATGTAACAAGAGGGTAAGTAATTCTTATGGGTTTAGTTCTGACATCTGAACATAGACAAATTCCACAATTTTTACAGACCCACAGGAGCAGAAAGCCTGACTTGGCCATTTGACTAAAGCAGAGCCACTGTTTATCATATCCATCAGAAGAAAGAATCTTGTTCCAGAATCATTTCCATTCACCATTCTGCCAACTTTACTGGAAAACAGCAATGATCATATTCTGCTCTACAGAAGTCAGATATTCAAAAGTGTATGCTCATAGAGCAACCCAAATACATCACCTGTCACATTGTAACACTACAAAGGGAAATGTTTAGAAGTCTTCTTTCTCTTGGTTTTCCTTCAGCATGAAGTGCCAGTGTCATGGGAGGTTTGGAGGAAGCCTTAGTAAGGGATGAGTTGTGCTCTGTTTCAGTACTATGAACAAGAATAATCCTTCTACCAGTAATTTACACAGTGAGTGCAACTCAACAAATCAGGTACTGGCAGTGTTATTCTATTTGCATAACAACAAGTCATTAAATAATAGAAATATTTGCAGTGTGCATTTTAAAAGGCACAAGAATGAGGTTGAACTGGCTGAGAATATGCAGTTGTGGATTCTTCAGATCTTGAGGACTTTGGAGGAAAATGTAACAGCAGGCTGAGTCCTCTTCCCTTCTCACTGCAATGACACCAACAACTGAAAATCTGAGAGCTTCACTGAGCACAGGTGCCACCAGTCCCACTCCTTCCATGAGCCAAACTAAACTGAGTTATTTACATGAGTCATTGTTTGGTCAAAGAAAAATCTGAAAAGTACAGAGCAAAGAGAAAACACAAATACAGAACAAGTGGCATTTTCATTTTGAGAAAGTCTCAAAAAACTGCCTTCTCAACTTTTTTTTTAAATCTATCTGTCCAACATTCAGTAGAATCTATTGTTCATAAAGCAACATTGAATTCAGATACTTCAAAAGCCTCATGATAATATTTAAGAGCAACAGCAGTTTCTCACAGCCAGTGCAGTAGCTGATTTAAAAAACTGAATGCAGACTAGAATGATCTAATTAGGGGAATTTCTCCCCACAGTGAGGCTGTTCAGTGTAAGCTGGTGGGAAAGCCCAGCTGGCTTGAATACTGTAAGATCAAGACCTGAAAGCTTATGCAAGTGTGTGGTTAAAGAAAAAAAAGTTCAGAACACGGGAAGTTTCTGTGCTTCTGATAACCAAACACTGAATACCCTGAATGCTGCACCAACCTCAAGTTCTTGGTTCAAAACCTCTCCAGGATTACTCACACTTGGTAACTACAAAACATTCAGTGCCACCACTGTTCTGCAGAACTTCAGTTACTGCCAGTACTGCTCTTACTCCATCTCTGTGACACAAGAAAATAATTAACATGCATCACTTATCAGCTCATGTACTATCAAAAGCAAAGCCAGACATCAAATGATTCAATGACAGATGATTTTAGATAAGCACCACAGTAGCTGATCTCAATTACCCATTTTCTCAAAGGCACCAATGCAATCTACAGTCCAGCATTTTTACCCATCATTTCCCTTCCATTTGTGCCTTCCAGTACATGGGATATGTTACATTTGTACCCTAAAGAGAAGCATTCCAAGAAACACATTCAGAGGGAAGCACACTTGATACTGCAACTGACACTAGAATATTGTTTCTATCTTAACCCTTCTGAGTTTTAAATAAAATGTAAGGAACTCAGTCATTAAAATAACCTACAAAAAGTTATCAAATTCTGACTAAGTTTAGCAATACCATGAGCACTTTAGCTTGTCTTCTTTTGTTGCCCCTCAGAGAACTCTCTACAGACTCTTCCAGGGAAATAATCCACTCCACACTTAAACATTGACATACCACAATAAAACTTTCGGTAATTGAGTTTAATGTGCTGTTCAACACAACACAGAATTTCACACAACTTACAGTAATTCTTTACAGTTCACAAGATCCTCATAGCAAAATCAAAACGGAGCAAAAATTGCCCCAGTATTGTTATGCAAGAGCTTGATTTTCTTCTTGCTGCTCACCCTGAAAAGCAACACAGTAATAACAGTTACAATATGACATTCAAACACTTAAACATGAAATAAATTTATATTGTTTCATTATGTCTAGGGAAGTGCACTCCCTTAATAAAATCTCCTAACCTGGAAATAAGAGGAAATATCACAGTAAGTGCATTTGTGCTTTTCTATGTGCAGTACCCATAAAGAGACCAACAGCTTATGTATTATGATACACAAACAGAGGTTTTACTAGTGAAATAAAGACCAGCATTCAGCATTACAATAAATGATTTGTCTGACACTAAGCACTCAATTGTCTGTAAGGAAAAGCTGTGTTGCAGTCCCTTTGAAGCCACATTAGTGAAACAACCACAGACTGTGGTTTGACAGGGGTGGGGGTGGTTGTTTTTCTTTTTTTTTCTTTTTTTTTCTCCTTTCTTTAATTAAAAACAAACTATGAACACTACAGATCAAAAGCAGTACACGCAGAATCTTTTAAGCCAATTAAAAACTGCAACTAGTCAAAACAAGGCACTGAAAATTGATTTGTTTGAAGGGAACAGGAAGCTGTTCTGCCAAGCAAGTTATATTTATCAGGCTTTTTTTTTTCCTTTCCTTTTTTCTTTTAAATTTAACTCACACTTTCCTGCTTGCTAAGAAACTCCTCAGCTGATCACCTTTGCCATGGTAAGTTGTAGCATTAACACTTGCAGGACCTTCCCTGGAGATGATTTATTTGCTTCCCAAGGGAATTGCACTTTCCAGCTGGACAGCAATCACACGGCTTTTCAGAGAACACTTTACTCAAGATGAAGAGAAGTTCTGCAACACAGAATCTCACAAAGTCTCACAGCTGAGGAAAGCTGTGAAGCAAAACTCATTACAAAAGGAGCTACCAGGGCCAAATTAGGAGAGACAGGGAGAGGCTGAAGCCTCCCACAAAATTGAGGCTTCCCAATTCAAGATTTGTTATTGACTGACACCAACTCATCCCACTGCACACTTCAGCCATCCTCTCTGAACTGCTCTGACACTCCTGAGTGTCCATTTCAGATTTGTATTCTGTTTCATTTTTACTGAACTGAGGAAAAATAAAAAAGATACAGTCCATGACCAAATCCCAAGAAAGCTGGTTCATAAAATCACAGAATGGTTTGAGTTGGAAGGGACCTTAAAGATCATCTTGTTCCAATCCCCTGGCATGGGCAGTTCTATCATGAGAATTTGTTTTTTTAACACAGTAAAGGAATTTTTTAATCCCTATCATTCAACTACTAAAACAGTAAAAGAATCTCAAATTCCCCAAACCTTCCTCCTGTTCAACTACTTTGGCTATTACTTTTCAATGTTAGAGCAAATGACATATAGCTTAAAAAATATTGTTTGTTATCTGCTTTGACAGCTTTGTAATTGTTACATGTACACCTGAAAAAGAATTTTAAATAAGCTTGGTTAAATTCCAAATGTTAACAGGTGTTAGCTGTCATATCTAGAAAGAAAAAATGCAATTGGTGTCAACATTCAGAATTATTTACTTGTTATTAGCAAACAGGAATATCGTGAAAATCTACTCACATACCCAGTAAAAACCCTGCGACTTCTGTGTCATTTCTGAGATCCAACTTCTTGAGCGTCAGCTACCGGTCAGTGTGATTTCCCACGTAAATTGTTGTTTTCCCCCTTCTTCTATCAACACTTCGCTTTCTCTTTTTGTTTTCCAGAAAAGACAACACTAGGGGCCTTCCACATCTCTTTGCTGGGAGGGACATGCTGAGCCTGAAAATAAACGACAGGCTTTATTGAAAGGCAGCTCAGAACAACAGCTGGTACCTCAGCGTCCCGAGCCAGCACAGCGAGAACCGATGGCAGAACAGCTTCGGCTCCTCGCAAGTCAAGCACCCGCTGCAGCCCCGCACCGGCGGCTCCCGACCCGCGCCCACCCGCTCGGGTCTATCCCCTCGGTGTCTCTCCGGGAGAAACGGCACAGAACCGGGCAGGCGGAACACGGCGGCGGACAGAGGGGACAGCCCCGCACACCGCTCCGGACGGGAGTGAGCGGCCATACCCGCCTCACGTCACCCCTGAGGAGAAAGAAGCCAATCCCGCCTCACGCCGCTCCTGAGGGGAGGAGACATTCCCGCCTCACGCCGCTCCAGAGGGGAGGAGACATTCCCGCCTCACACCGCCCATGAGGGCAGAGGAGAGACCATTCTCGCCTCACGCCGCTCCAGAGGAGAGAGGAGAAGCCATTCTCGCCTCACGCCGCTCCTGAGGGGAGGAGCCATTCTCGTCTCACCCCGCCCTTGAGGGGAGGAGCCATTCCCGCCTCACGCGGCTCCAGAGGGGAGGAGACATTCCCGCCTCACGCGGCTCCAGAGGGGAGGAGACATTCCCACCTCACACCGCCCTTGAGGGGAGGAGCCATTCCCGCCTCACGCCGCTCCTAACGGGAGGGCCCATTCGCGCCTCACACCCCTCACAGGACAGATACACACACGGACATACCGACACAGACATTTCCGCCTCATGCATCCCTGAGGGCACACCAGCCCCTTTCGCTGCTCCGCAAGGCGGACAAGCGCACCTCACACCGCCCGAGAGTGGGCAAGCCCTCACAGCGTCCCTGCGGGGCGCACCCGTTCCTCGCCGCCATTCCCTTTTTCCCCCACGCCAATCTCCCGCTGCCCCCGGCTGGGTTGTCGGTCGGGGTCGGTCTGTCCGTCCCTCACCCACCGCGGCTGTGACCGGGGTAAACAAGGGACATGTGACCGGCGGCGCGCGCTGATGGCGCCTGGGTGACGTGAGGGGCCCGCCCCAGTTTTAAAGAAAAAGTCCAAAAAAAAGGATTTTAAGTGTTAAACAGGACAGTGGCTTGAAACCTGTCCTGAGGGGGCAGCCAGTGGCGCTCAGGTAAAAACTGGTCTCAGCCCTTCACTGAAGCCCAGAGGAATAAATAAACAAGTATTTTTTTTAATATTTGTTTAATAACAAACTTCAGTTATATATGCGCAATAAAAAATCGACTGTTTTCCCAAGCAGCAATTCGCGGGATGGATATCCAAAATACTGTGTGGTTATCTTACCTTCTGAAAGGCCAGATTCAAGGACAAAACTAGAATTTTGCTCTGAAGAGCAAAAGGTGTTTGAAATGTGACCTACCTGTGAAAATACATCAGTGACACCAAGAGAAAGAAAATGCAGTGAGAATTTGCAATCCCTGTTGTCACAGTGTGCTCCAGCAGTGATATATAAGAAACCTGCATTCCTTGGTGCCTCCACACACTCCTGCTGACAGAGCCTGTGTTTTAAAATAATAACTAAAACCTCAGACTAAGTTAGCGAACAATATTTGGATAGTTTTATCTAAACAAGAGAGGGACAATCATACCTGCCAATTTTAACGAAAGTGAAGCTAAGACCTGCATTCTGACTGCACCTTGAGCAGCCTAATCCACGTAATACCAAAGTAGAATTCCTCATGTTTATTGTTCACTGCTGAGGTTGGATGATTCATCACATTTAAATTCTTTCACATGAGCTTCCCAACTTCCTTCTTTTATGTGTTATCATAATATCCGGAGAGAATTAATAATTTTTGTATGAAAAAGAAACTGAATTATGCTGTGTGGTACCTAACATGCAATAAAACAGGCAGAAAACATTAAGTAAAAAGATAAAAAGAACAGTCAATCAAACCAAGAAGCTGAAGCATTTTTACTACAGAAAAATGGCATCTCTAACAATATATTTGTTTCATGTTTCCTATTTTACTTTCTCCCCCTCGCCATCTGCCTCTGTTCTGCTTTTCTCTTTCAAAAAGCACCCACCTCATTTAGCTTCACTCACCCCATCACAGGATTCAGGCTGAATTAAAACAAAATCCCCAGTGCCAAAGCCAAAAAAGCACTACCTCTTCATAAAAGACTTATTCCATAAAAAAGTTATTCCAAAAATACCTCCCCATTTTCTTACAGTAGCTGTAGATCTTTAAGAGAAGCAGTCCATCTCGATTCAGTGCTTTGTTGCACACTCTCTAGGCAAAGGAGCTCAAGTTTTTGGCCCCTGGTAACTCTGGGTGGTACCTGTGCTTTCAATGTTGCTCTTTTTGCCCAAATTTTTCCCTGTTCTTTTGGTAGCCAGCACCAAATCCCACAAGAGTGAGATCCTGTAGTGTGGAAAAAGAAGGAGAATTACAGAACAGGAAGTTTTTGATCAGGAGCCGCTCCTTCCATCAGGGAAGCACCTGAGCAGTGCCCAGGGGATTTGCTGTTCTGTGGAGCAGAGTCCCACTGCGTTGCTTAGGAACACCCTGCATGAAAATAAAACCATTTTGGGGAGACAATCCTCAGAAGGAAATAGTGAGAACTAGAGAATGCCCATCTTTGAGGCGTGTGCCATGCAGTGGTCAGGAGAGCCTGGCAGTGCCAGAGCCAGAGGAAGCAAAGGATAGGGAGGAGAAGATGAAATACAAAAGGTACTGTGAAAAACACCAAACACTCGTTTTGAAAATTTTAAAAGTTTAATAGTAATGAAATGCTTATAAAAATAGTAATATAATTAGAGTAATAATAATTTGGACAATTTGGATTAGGACAATATGAGACAATAGAAACAAAGAGTTATGGATGGTCTGTGTACCTTTTTCTGGGCAAAATAAGCACGAAAAAGGATACACATTAACAAAGGATTAACCCTTAGAAACAATAACCTGTTGCATATTCATGCCACTTCATACATGATGCATAAATTCCATTCACACACAGGATTCTGTCTGGTCAGTGTCAGCTTCTTCCTCTGAATCCTAACGGGGTCTTCATGGCTGAGTGAGGCGGGAAGAAGTTCATTTCTCCTGATAATGGAGCAATAAATTCTCTTTCTCTGAAAGATTTAGGTGTCCTGTGACTGCTATCTCACTGCGAGTCCTTTCTTAAGAAAAAAAAGTATCCTACATAGCATCGTTTCTATTTTAACATTTTGCTATAACCTAAAACTATATTTAACAGCATTACTTTCTAACACAACGCATAAAATATTCATTTTAATATTTGCAAAAAGCCAATCATAAAATGTGCATCTTTCACAGTGCTAACGTGTGGCAGCACCACAATCTGAGTCTGGAGGTGAGTCCCCGCAGGACACACGCTCGCATTTGTGAGTCAATTCTCTGCAGCAACCATGGAGAATTTGTTACTGCAGGGAAAACTTCTGTGCCCAGCTGGGGTATGGCCCTGAGTCTTTGGGTCTCCTGGGGAGAACGTGTTCTGTGAGGTGCAGAGAGGAGCTGAGCCAGCTCAGACACCCTCCCAAGGCACTGGCACCTCAGTGCCCGTCCTTGTGGCACGGGAGCAGCAGGATGGAGTAAGGGACCCACTGGTATCCTGGCTGTGTGTCTGGGGGTTCTGGAGCTGCTGGGGACCCACTGTTATCCTGGCTGGGTCTCTGGGGTCCTGGGAACTGCTGGGGTGCCAGAGAGGACTCACAGAATGACAGAATCAGTTGGAAAAACCTCTGAGATCATCGTGGCCAACCTGTGACCAAACACCACCCTGTCAACCAGACCACGGCACTGAGTGCAGTGTCCAGGTGTTTCTTGAACATCTCCAGGGATGGTGACTCCACCCTGAGCAGCCCATTCTGATGTTTAATTTCCCTTTTCATTAAGAAAAATCTTCCTGATGTTCAACCTAAACCTCCCCTGGTGCCGCTCCAGGTCTTCTCTCCCCTGACTCTCCTGTGTTATAGAGAGCGTGGTCTACTCGAAGCTTCCTCTTCCAGGCGTGGAGGGCCGGATGAGAGGGAGGAAAAAATATGGAACGCTTCACGAATTTGCGTGTCATCCTTGCGCAGGGGCCATGCTAATCTTCTCTGTATCGTTCCAATTTTAGTATATGTGCTGCCGAAGCGAGCACGAATCCAGAGCCCTACCCGCCGCTATTTATACCCCGAGGATTCAGGCTCCTCAAGGTTAGGGTGACCATGTCGGACAAACCGGCAGTGCCGGTGGGAGCAGAAGCAGCCGTGCACAGCACCCCGACTGTTCCGAGGGTCTGGCGGGCAGGAGATGGCGGAAAGGGGGAAACAGACCCCCAAATTCCGCCTAACCGGGGTTATGCAAATAGTGCTGCTGTATGCAAATACGCGCAAAGCACTCTGGGTCGGGGCGATACTGGGGCTCCTCACGGGGCCGTTCTGTGTCAATAACCCCACGGCGGGGTTCAGAGTCACGTTCGGCCGTGCGCAGCTGGGAATGTGACACTTTCTGCGGTGCCACATCGGTGGTTCGGACCTAAATTAGTTGATATTGCTGACCTGTGACGAGAGCGGGTGGCTGAAGCCATGCTCGTTCCGCAGAATCACAGAATCGTTCGGGTCGGAAGGTCCGTGTGGAGATCAAAGCCCCCAGCCAAGGCAGAGTCACCCGGAGCAGGTGACACCGGAGCGCGTCCAGGTGGGTTTGAATGTCTGCAGAGAGGGAAACTCCACCGCTCCTTGGGCAGCCGTTCCGCTGCTCCGCCACCCTCAGCGTCAGGAGCTTCTTCCTCCCGCTGAGGCGAAACTTCTCGAGTTTATGACCATTACTCCTGCTGTATTTGGAGCGTATCTCGGGAGCGGGCAGCTGCAGCGGGACCGCGTGGCCGGGCAGGGGACGCGTACGTACGTGAGCAAGGCCCGTGAGGTGCTTCTGGTTCTAATTAGGGGCAGGAGGAGCGTTAGGTGTGAGCAGCAGAGTGGCGCAGCGGAAGCGTGCTGGGCCCATAACCCAGAGGTCGATGGATCGAAACCATCCTCTGCTAGCCCAATGTTTTCGTTTTTCTCACGGCACAGCGCCCGTCCTCCAATCTCTCCTGTTTAGTTTTGGGTGTGGGGGACATGACTGTGGCTGGTACGAGTTGTTTTTGCTGAAATTTCGGCCTCATGCGGTATAGATGATGCGAGTAAAGGACAGACAGAGAGCTGGGGTGCCCACAGCTTATTTTAGTGCCATTTGAAGGTCTCACGGAATCAGGATGGTTTGGGTTGGAAGGGACCCTTAAATGCCATTTAGTCCCACCCTGCCATGGTCAGGGACTCACCAAGTTTCTCAGAGCCCCGTCCAAGCTGGCTTTGAATGTCTCCAAGGATGGGGCATGTGCCACCTCTCTGGGCACCCTGTGCCACTGCCTCAGCACCCTAGTGGAGCTCTCTTCTTTATCTTTCATAAGAAAGCTCCCTTATAAACTAAAAGGTCACAAGGCCCCCAGGAGCCTACTCTACTCCAGGCTGACCAGCCCCAGCTTTGTCAGCCTTTCCTCATAGAAGAATTGCTCCTCTGAGCATCTTCATGCCTTTGTCTGGGAGAGATCCTTGTCTTTAATCAAGCATCAAAAGCTCTTTGCACACATTTGTAGTTTTTTCCCTGTCTTGCCGGATTAAATGAAACATGGTGGCAATGCCGGACATAGCAAGCAGACTGTCAGCACAAAGTGCAGGAAAGCAAAATAAAAACAAAAATGGGAAAACATATAAGTCAATGTACGTGATACTGAAAGTATGCATTTGGCCTCTGGATGACATGATCTGAGGAAAAAAGCTCCATGAATGTAGTTAATGGCACAGTGCTGCTCAGTGGGGTTGTTATCAGGGCTGCAGAATGTGATAAATAAACAGTGGAATTCTTACATGAAATGAGTACATGCGGAATACATGGAAGAAAACCAAGGCAGGAATCTCAAACATAGATCCGTGGAAATTCTGGAATTGGCTTTTCCTGAGTTTGGCTCAGTAGGCGCGGCTCAGGTGGTCACATTGTGTGGTTCCATGGTGTAATGGTTAGCACTCTGGACTCTGAATCCAGCGATCCGAGTTCAAATCTCGGTGGAACCTGAAAGTTTTTGCCACTGACACAATTATTTCCTCCTCAGAACCATGCAAACTGACTTTAAATGGACTGCTAGAATGGCGTCAACATTCCATGCCATAAACATCACATGCCCCATGAAATAAATATCTAAAGCAGAATAGTAACTAATCACGGAGTCTTCCTGTTTCCCCCCCCCATATCTATTTATTGCAGCCAGGTTAGGACTTTCTGATTTATCTGAAATTATCTGAAGCATCCCAGACATGTCACAGCATATTGTTTCAGTTTCTTTCTGTGCTTTGAATCGCCTGTGTGGAAATAGAGTTCTAAATTCTGCATCGGCACAGCTGGTGGCAGCTGCTGAGCTCTGCAGGGATCTCTGAGCTCTCAGGGAGCTCTTTTGGGGTGTCTCTGACAGCAGATGTTCCCCAGAGTTCCTGTTGGCTTTCTGCCCTCATTTCTGAACTTATGGTGCCCAAAGGGGTTCTTGGAGAGCTGGAGAGGGAGTTGGGACAAGGGATGGAGCGACAGGACAGGGGGGTGGCTTCACTCTGCCAGAGGGAGGATTAGAAGGGAAATTGGGAAGGAATTGTTTTCTGTGAGGGTGGCACGGCCCTGGCAAGGGTGCCCAGAGAAATTCGATGCTCTGGCAGCATTCAAGGCCAGGTTGGACAGGGCTCGGAGCAAGCTGGGGTGGTGGAAGTGTCCCTGCCCATGGCAGGGCTGGGTCTGGATGATCTTTAAGGTTCCTTCCAACCCAAACCATTCCACGATTCTATAAAGACAACGAATTTCGCACAATCTCGGAGCAAACAGAATATTTAGGTCGTGTTACATTCTCGTCGGCCATCCCGGGTTCACGGGCAGAAGGAACAGAACAAACGGCAATTTCCAAATGGGATTTGTTGGTTATGGATTAATTGTGGGGCCTGGCGGAGGGCAGAGGCACCGCCCGGTTCTATGGTGTAATGGTCAGCACTCTGGACTTTGAATCCAGCGATCCGAGTTCAAATCTCGGTAGAACCTGCCCCAGGTTTCTCTTTTTCTGCCTCAGAGCCCAGCAGGGACAGACCGGACACGCTGAAGCTCCAGCCCAGCCCACGGAGTGTCCTCGCCCTCAGCTGTCACACTCTTCCCGATTTTCTTCAATGCAACAAAACTGATAAAAGACTTCATACAATTCTTGCTACTTTTTAATTTGGTGTTTCGTTGTATTTTACTGTTGTTTTACATTAAGTACTTTTGGGGGTACATTAATTTTTAAAATTAAGTACATTTACACTGTGGAAAATTTCATCAGGCAGATGTGCAGAATTTGGATGTTATTTTTAAGTTACTTTCCAACTACTCTCTTGGAAAATAAGGGGAGAAATGCAGTGTTTTGGGATAAATTGCACAATTTAAATGGATATTCCCCCTGCTTCGCTGACACAAACCCTCAGTAGTTATCTTTCATTTCCAGAGCAGTTAAGGACATCTTACACCTTGGTCCCCTCCTCCAAACCTGTCCTACAAGTCCCTTGTTTACACAGCAACAGGAGCAAGCCTGCTCTGTTCACCAGCTCCTCCTCTGGCCAGGTAACTCTTGAAATAAAAACACAGAACACCTTCAAATCAAGTTATTATTTAGTAGAAATCCAGGTCCCAACTGCTGAAGAGAACATATGGAAATGTTTGCTCGATTCATTAGATTTTCACACAACCTAGTGATGAAAAAAATCCCTTGTCTGTGTCAGGGCTCATTTTCATCCTTTCCTCACCTGTTGGATCAGGTCACACACAAAGATCGTTTCCTGTGCAGCAGAGTTTTGAGTTTCTCTGTCCAGTGACTCAGCACAGCCAGCCACTCTCCCAGGCTGCCCTCACACCCCTCAGAGCAAGAGCTTTAAAGCCACAGGGCTTGTCTGCCCTGCAAGCAATCAATATATTAACAATTTTAGACAGCTAATTACCATTCATCTGGCACCTTCCTCCTTCCATTTAGCAGAGTTTGAGGTGCAGCTGTAATCCAAAGTGTCCCATAAAGTGCTGATACAAAATTGGTGCCACGGATGGGCCCCAAACAAACCCCCTGGGTGTAACCTGGTGTACTTAAAGAGTTAAAATTGTACATGGAATGACACAGAACCAGTGCAGAATTGAGTACTGAGATTTATTCACAATTCATGGTCATGCTGCACTGGAAAACAAAGCACCAAAATCTGGGTAACTGAACATCATCCAGGCATAACCCAGCTGAGACTGCTGCATTTGGGTGTGTGCATTCCCCTGGGGCACCCACAAATGGTGCTGTGCTGAGGGAACCCTCCTGCAGCAGCCAAAGGGACTCACAGCACCCTGCAGCAGCCTCAGAACCCCAAGGATCCAGCACCTGACATGCTCAGGTCAAGAACATCCCAAGACAATTTTATTAATTAATTTACTGTGTCCAATTTCTTTCCCACAATCCTTCCAGTTTATAATTTTTCTAAAAATCCTCTTATCCCAGCACAAAATTCCAGGGGGAGGTAAAGCACTATATCAGGAGGTTTTCTTGTTGCTGAAGAGGCAGTGGCAATAGAAATTATTATGAAATCAGGGAATTAAATATGCTGTAATTTCAGAAGTGTGGCTACAAACACATATTGTCAACATTAATGGATTTTCCAATTCAAATCCAGAATCCAATCTTAGGCAAGTATTTCACTATATATGAAGCTGCAACAAGGTTTTCTGATATAGATTAAAATTTCAATGCAAGCAGGTGAAGGGGGAAAGATTAAAAGGAAAGGAAAGTTCTATCCTGTAAAACTGGCACTTTAAGAAAAGGCCTTTAAAAAATTAAAACATTTTACTCAAAGAGTCTTAAAGAACAAAAGCTGACCAAAAAAAGAAACCAACCCAAAAAGACAAGTCTCAATTGGTTAGGCCACTAATGATAATACATTTAATACATTCTGTGTAGCCTGGTTTAGCACAGGAGACATTTAGGGAAGTGATGCAAAGGTTTGTTATGCAAAACCAAACCCCACTACAAGCTCAGTTAGGTGCCTTCCTTATCTTTAAAAAAGAATTGTGCAGCAGACACAGCAACAGCTCTGCACTGTGGCTGCCCTGGAGCAGATGGAAGGAATGGTGGATGCAGCTGGAGCAGGGTATTGTGGACACTGAGCCAGGGCTTTCCCTGCACTGATCTCAGCCCCTGCTGCTCCCCAGCAGCACAGGCACTGCACAGCACCCCCAGCCCTGGGAGCATCCAGCACCCTGCACACACAGCTCAGGCTCTGCTTTCACAACAGCTCTTGGGCAGTTCACTGAAGATTTCCTCAGAAAAGCAAACTGGTTTTGTACCATTGCACCCAGTAAACACACAGAAACAAATAAGCACACTGTACAAAGAGCAGCAGAGATATAATTTAAACATGCAGCAGCTACAAACCATATATACAGAAAAACAGGCCTATACAAACAGAACAGGACCATTTATTACATTACAATTCTGGGGGAGTTTTTGGAGGAAATCACAGCAGATGAACAAAATCAGACCCGAGGAGGTGGATGCTGCTTCTGAAAGTGATCTGCTTTGAAATGTCCCACAACAGCCCCACCTTTCTCCAGCACACACATCTATCACCCTTCCAGCTGCACACAGCCCTTCCCACAGCTCCTGGACTCCCTTCCTGTACAGAGGTAGATTTCTGTCAATGTTCTGATATTGCACCACAGTCAAGATGGTTCTTATCACAAGGAACAACTTGCAAAGGCTAATTTCTATAATTCATGGGCATCATTTCATTGTGGGCATTCAGGTAGTGCAGTAAATAAATTTGTTTGCACTTGAAAGAAAATTCCCTCCAAGTGCAATGGTTTGTTATTTAGGTGGAGGTCCAATGGAAAGCTGCAGTTTTGAACAGCTTCCCATGAAGAGAGCTGGTTTTTATCAGCAGGGTGACACTTGACTGTCCCTCTCCTTTTCAGCCAAAGCCAGCTCTTGCCCTGCCTCCCCTGATGCTCCATCCCATTCCACTGTGTTCAGTTAAATGTGCATTTTAAACACTCACAGGTTTCTGCAGGAATCATCCAAGCAGCAGTAACATTGAAGAAATTGGCAAGAAGATTGATTCAAACTGCATGAAATGGTTAAAAAAGCCCATCCACACTCAGGCTGCATAAGGAAAGCTAGAACTTTGCTAGCTTCAAACAGCCATTAACTGTGAACAGATCTGAAGAAGTCTGGCAGGAGTCTTAATTTCTTTTGTCCATCACATTCTTGAATAACTCTCTGACAAGTGGGGAAGTTGCAGAGCAGCTGAATGGCAGTACCACTTCACAATGTCTGTTAAATGAACCTCTATAGCATATTTATAAAAATAAGTGCATCAAAAACCACGATGCCAACACACCATAACTCTGATGAGCTCACAAGCATTGCTCAGTAGTTTTTCTCAGAGGCACCCCAGGAAGTTATTTTTTGCACAAGTCTTTCAACATGGAGACAAATGAAGGAACAATCTGGGCATGTTCCACTCTCAGAGAGAAGCCAAAGCAAGCAGCACCACTGCTGCTGGCTGCAAGCTTGGCAGAAAACTTATATGGGAAGAAAGTTCTCTTTTTGTAGCAATCAACCTATTTGGAACTATTTTAAATGAACCATTTAGCATTAGTTTCCCAGATTCAGTTTGTGTGAAGCATTCTGTGACACTACATCAGTAAGAAATGGTGGCTAGCTTGGAACTGAGTATTTTTTTGCTGAATTATGGATACAAGGCTTATAGAAATTCATTACATCTCTCCACATACTCACTTGTCCTTTAAAAGGGCTTTTCCTTACCAAGGTGAGTAAATCCCAACTGCATCAATACTGAAATTCCTGTGTTGACAGGGAATGCAGACCTGGAAGTAAAATCACCTCACCCTCTTGGAGGAGCCCATTTTGTGCAGTGAACCTTCCCTCCAGGGAGCAACTTGGTCAGGAATTGCACTCCCTGTCCCTGCCACAAAGGGCTGTGTACCTTGCAAGATTAGAATGAAGAAATCCACTGTATGCAGGAAATGACAAACAGTCAAATGAACTGCCAGTGGCAGGAGCCAGGGCTCTTGGAGCTGTGTGGTTTTGCAGAGCAATGGTTGTGCCCCAGCTGGGCAGAGCTCACTGAGCCAGAGGTCCCATGGGTGCCCTGCAGCCCCAGCCCAGCTCTGCTGTTACCATTTGATGTCCAGGCTGCTGGTGCTCTGGCTCACTGCACTGTAGGAGGTGTGCAGAGTGTCCTGGGCCTTCTTGGAGTCCCTGCCCTCCAGCCAGTCCTGGTACATCCTCTGCACGTGCAGGTTGGCCTCTGGCAGCCTGACAGGGATGGCAGTGTACACCTCCTCCATCTGCGCCAGCAGGGCCCTGTCTGCTCTGCCATCCTCGCTCTGGGCCTGGCCCTTCCCATTGAGGCACCCTGAGGGAAAAAAAGGAATTAAAAAGATGAGATGTGATGGAAATTTGATATGAAAAAAAAAATCTCTGTTAACTCAGAATTCTTTTTTCACACTTCTCTAAAGGAAGTTTTTTTTTAAGCTTCCTCCCACGCTGTTACAATTTGTATTTACCTAAAGTGACTCCAATATCAACTTCATCTTAATGGAAATGAGGTTTCCATATCACAAATCTCTCTCTGCATTCTCCATGGTTTTATGATCCTAATTATGTTCCTTGTCTTTTCTTGCCCTTGACAGGCACCATTTCAGAGCATCCTCTGGGGCTTGGCAGTGCAGTGCTGGCACTTATTTATAGGTCACAAGAGAACAAATATCATCCTGACTCATGTTAGAAAACTCAATCACTTTCTGAGCCAACCCTGCACCTGTAACTGGTGTTTTGGACCCTTCAACAAACAGAGAGATTTTAGATTATTAAGAAGAGAATGAAGAGGGAATGAAATGAAGTGCCTGCCTGTAAGGCAGCTTTCCTTTGAGATTCAAGACACACATGCAGAACAACTGCAGATCCACAATTATCTTTACCTCCTGGGCAGGCAAGGACTTCTACAAAATGGTAGAAAAACTTTCCTTTTTTCAACTTCAGGACCATGTTTTGGATATTCCTGAAGCCATAAGCTGCTGCAAAACGCAGCACTGTCTCCCCATCCTTTTCAAGGGTCACTTCTTGAAAGTCCTTGTTCCTGGCAAGACAGAGAGAACATTTTAACCCCTGCATTCCCAGAGGAACAACCCAACTTGGTATTCAGCTGCTCCAAAGGGAGCAGGACTAGTGTAATAGTGAGATCAAAGTGAACTCTTCCACTTTCTAAACTGAGTTAAGCAGAAATTGAGGTGGAATCTTTGTAATAGAATTATACTTTAAGTGCAGGTAAGGTTTTAATAAAATGAGCACCAGCAGGAGCTGCTTTCAAGTGAGAGACCTGCAGGTTCAGAGCAGGTTTAGAGCCTGTAGCTGCCCATCAGACCAGGTCAGCAGTGACTGCTGTCACCACCCAAAGCAGAGAAGCTCCTGAGCTGCAGGAACCAGCTCCTGCCAATGCCCCAAGGCTCTCAGTGCCCAAGGGGCATCTGGACAAAACCCTCAATAAATGCTTTATCTTTTGGTCCAAGTGCTCAGGCAGTTGAAATAAGTGACTGCTGTGTGTCCCTTCCAACTGGAAATTCCCCTTTCTGTTCTAGCTCACCCATTGTACATGACAAGGATACAAAAGTGGAACTTACTTTAGTGCTTTGTAGGTGATTTCCTTGACATCCACACCAAAAAGCTCCTTTGCAGCATGTTTAAAAATGTGCTCCAGGTAACCATCAGATCTCTTGCCATCATGCCTTACTACATCTCCCTCCTTTAAGCCATCAAACCTTAGGGAACAACAAAATGGAAGATCAGCTCCAAACATTTAATTCTTTCACTTCAATAAAGCAGTGTGTTTCTCTTCTTCTCTGTCTCCCCCACCAAAAAGTGTTTTGTAGCACTGAGAACACATTTATTTTCATTTATTACAGCTTTAAAAACGTAAGTTATTCAGGACAGCAGTAAGACAATGAAAAAAATCAATTAAAAATATGCAGGGCTTTCCACATTGTGCTGAAGGTGCATTGTTATCAATTACTGTTGCTTGATATTTCTCAATCTGAAGATTTTGTTAACAACCTTTTACTGCTCAAGAGCCATTTTGGGAAAAAATTCTTTAAATACAATTATTTAAATAAATGGTCATTTTTTTTGAGAGAATAATTTGTGAGAATACAAAACTAGTTCAGAAGTTAAAGTCTTTGCTGACAGTTCTGCTTTAGGAAATTTTGTCACACTGTAACACTGTGCCAGTGAAATTACACCAAACTGGTAGAGCTGCCACCAGGTTAGAAGGGTTTACACTGAAAATAAGTGTTACACTGTGGCTCAGGAGAGAAAATGGGAGCTCATCTGCTGCAAGTTCACGTCTCCCCATTTAAAAGCAGCTCTGAAGGGCCCCCATTCACACAACTGCTTTAATACCCAGCACTTTATCACAAATTGCTGCCGTGCTGGGGCTTGTTTGAAGAACATGACTCCAAGTTGTTTCAATTTCTCTGCAAGATCTGCTTTAAAGACCCCAGAAGAGCAAGAATTTATGTCATGAGGTCTCAGAGCTGAACAAGTATTTTCAGATTGGTCCTTACAAAAATTAACAGAAATGGAGAGCACTTGGCTTGTTAAGCCTGGAGGAGACTGAGACCAGAGCTCCTGAGGGACAGCTCCAACTCTGCTCTGGGACAGGGACAGAACCCAGGGCATGGCTGGGGCTGTGCCAGGGGAGATTTGGGTGGGATCTCAGGAAGGTTCTTCCCCAGAGGGTGCTGGCACTGCCCAGGCTCCCCAGGGAATGCCAGGGACAGCCCCAAGAATGCCAGGGATGCCCAGGGTGGGGCTGTTGGGCAGTTTGGGATGGATTTTAGGGAAAGGTTCTTTACAGAGGGTGCTGGCACTGCCCAGGCTGCCCAGGAATGCCAGGGATGCCCAGGGTGGGGTTGTTGGGGTGGCTGTGCAGGGCCAGGGGCTGCACTGGGTGATCCTCAAGGGCTCCTTCCAGCCCAGGACATTCTCTGATTCTATAAACTGAGCTAATGAACCAGCATTAATGAACAGCCTGGCCTTTCACTGGACAGGCTGACACAGAATTAAAAGCCTCCCTCTGTGTGATTCTGATACAGAACTACATGAGTGTCTGTGATTATTGCTGCAGGAACTTTATTCATTCTCATTCTGTGACAATCTCAGGTAGAAGCAAAGGAGCTGCACTACAAGCACAGCTCTGATCCACTGCAGTTTCTCCCCTCTAGGTCCAAGCAGGATTCTAGCTGGAAATGAGGAGGATTTTTCAGAACTTCCAGAGCTTTCTGTTGTGTGCAAGACAGCACATTCATTGCTCCTTTGGCAAGGCACCAAGGAACATCTGTCCCAGCTGAACAAAGATCAGGGAGAGAGAGCAGCCTCTGGAAGCAAATCTGAGAGTTAAACACCACCCAGGCTGCTCCCTGAGCCCAGCACAAGGGATGGAAACAAAACTCTCCAGTGCTTTGTGTGCTTCTCATCTAAACACAGTTCAGTTTGATCTAATCTTGAAAAACTGACTGCTGTCCTCAGTATAAAAACCAATTCATTTCCATCTCCTGAAAGGGTGCTGCTCCTGGCAATGCACATGAACATATTGGGGAGTGGGAATTTCCTGCCAGGATGGTGCTGAGAAAGGGAGGGAGCCCAGAGCAGATGGCCAGGCCAGCACAGGTTGGGGCTCTGCACAAGGAGCTCACAGAGCTCTGAACAGGGCCAGACCCCCAGGCAGCCACACTGACAGCAAGTCACATCATTCATTACTGCAAATAATCTATACTTATCAATCAATTAATAATGATTCTTAAATATCAATCAGGAGCTACACAAATCTTCAAGTCATATTTTAAAATATTTACTGTATAAGGGTCATTACCTCAAATTATCTGCTTTGTATTCAGACAGTAAATGCAAATTTATATTATCTGTTTTATATTACTTTTATATATAGCAAGAACATCTAAGAGAATATTTTTGTGGGTTTGGCCACTCTATAAGTGTGAAGCTGTGGTATATTCAGGCTTTAGTGCAGGTTTTTTCCTCTAAAAAGAAAAACCATTCTTCTGAGCAGTTTTACATTTATGTTGTGTGGGAAATGGGTTTACAGAAAATTCTCAAAGGTTGACAGAAAACTCACAAAGTGTACACCTGTATGCAAACCTTAAAATAAGAAATACTGACTTAAAAATACCATAGAACAAACCAGACAGTGTTAAGAGAGAAATTGAACTAAAAACAAGTTCAAAGGATGACCTTACAAATAAGACTAGATACTTTAGAGAATAAACTATAAAAATGCATTGTAGCAAGATCCACAAGGAGTAATTTTAGATGATTGATTTTAAGACATTTACAACACAGTTCAGCTAAAACTGATAAACCAAAATGCTTATAGTACATTATAATTAAGAAATAGTTGGCTTCTGATTGTGATACAATGAATTATATCATCTGTATTGTCTCACCCTTCAAATGACACTGAAAATAGAATAAAAGTTTTTAAAATGCCTCTCAGTTGCCCCATCTCTAAGTCCAAAAAGAGCTTTATCCAACAATGCTGAATGTGCCCCAACACATCATTTGTCATCCAAACAAGGAAGCAACCCACAACAAAACTACTTACAAACTATCTACAGCTACTTCAGTCACATCTTTCATTGACACATTTTTCTGTTCCATTATCTGGACAATTTCACCTGTAGGAAAACACAGGAATTTCACTTTTATCACAAAGCACAACACCCACTGTGCCTCTCTTTCAGAGCAACATCCCAACACCGGCCAGTGCTTTGTGTCACATTCTGCAGCTCCTGCATCACCTCCCTCCTGACAGTTCCTGCCCCAAGAAAAGGGGCCCTCAGGGTTCCTGCCCAAACCCTGCTCACATCCTCAGCCTTCCTGTCAGGCCAAGTCTGGAAATATCCAAACTTGGACACTAAGGCTAAAGACAAGATCCTCACCAAAAGGCAACTGGTGCTATGAATGAGGAATAATTCCTAATAAAATAATGACCATAGACAAGCCAGACAATTGTTTTAAATATGGATTTGAGTAAATTTTACCTTCTTTAACAGGCTGTCAAAATACCTGATTTTTCAGATGAATAGCAACTTAGAAGGAAAGGATGTGTCACTCTGCCCTCCCTGTGCAGTACCTGTACTACCAGGAGCACAAAAATATGTACTGATTTTTAAAGCCAACCTTATGACTAAAGCAGACTTGAAAAAAGCAAATTCTGGCAGAAAGGTTATTCTAAAAATGGTGATTCACTTTTATATTTATAGATTATAAGTTTAAAAAAGTTAACCTGATGTCAGGACACAATCAACTTCTGCTGAATTATACAAGGCAGTGTAGAAATCTTCCCTCAAGGCTTCCAGCTTTTTGTCATAACAAGGTGCCACGACTACATGGAAAATTTTATCAGGAGACAAATTCTGTGGAATACAGAAGGGAACACATGAACTCCATGAAGAGCAAAAGGCAGCTTGAAGGATCACAGGAACAAAAATAGTGACATAAACCTCATGCAGGCAATATCAGGAATAAGTCCCTACATTAAATTTAAAGAATGTTCACACAGACAATGATTTGCCAGAAGTCACAAAGCATCAGCAACAAACTTCCAAAGTTACTGTCCTGGCTGGAGCCAATTCCCTCAGCCCACATTTTCTGCAGCTTTTTGATTGCCTGAGAAAGTGGATACAAGTCAGGAGTTCAGAGTTCTGGTTCCTGGCTGTCACCCACTCACTTTCACCCACAGCAAGCTCTTCACAGTTTGTCTGTCCATGTGCAACCCTTCCCTGCAGAATGTGGCTCCTTTGAGGTATGGGATGTAAAGAACAGCAATTTTTTCAACATACAAAACTGAGGAGATAAAAAGGTTAGCTCCAAGGACACACTGCTTTTGTTGAGCTCAGGTCACAGGGCAATTTCCACATTATTCTCCTCCACTCCTGTTTTGGCTCTGCTGTAGAACTACAGAGGCAGCATTTCACAAAAAACCCTTTAACTACTATGGATTTAACTTTAGCCATAAATATTTAAATCCATGTTGCACTGGAGGTGCAAGGACTGCTGCCAGCTCACACTGATGTATGAAAATAATGGGGGGAAAACCATGGAGGGGGGAAAAAACCATGGAGGGGGGAAAAACCATGGAGGGAATCATGTGCTTTGTTCGTTCCTCTCATCATGGGCACTTGTACAGCACAAAGCACCATTTCTTCTTCAAGTAAAGGACAAATGTAATACACTAAGATCTGTATCTCAGTGTTAAAACCCATCTGCTCTATTTAGAAGAATATAAAGGTAACAATAAATCAGAATGACTCACCTGCTGCCTGGCAAAGTAGCCCTTCACTAGGGAGCCCATGATCTGCTGTGGGGACTTTGCAGTGCAGATGTGAGAGGTGACCAGGTTGGTGAGCACCCTCTCAGCATAACGGATCCAACCTGGAAGCACAAAAACATCCCAGGCACAGAGGAGTGAGCCATGAGCACAGCAAGGCAGCAGCCACACAGCACACCCTGACAATGGGGACACCTTCACCATGTCCCTGTAGGCTGGAAGTCCCACCTTGGGAGCCATAGGAAACCTCAGGGCTCTGTTAATAATGCTTCAGTCAATAATTCACCGTGCCAGCAATTCTAGACCAAGGTCCACTGTGAACTTCATGACCTGCTGCCCCTTCCTCATGCACACATTTAACAAAGCAGAAAGAACAAGACCCCAGCTAACAGAAATTTGACCTTCTAGACCTTGGGTCACCACATTCTACAACAAATGCACTGTTTGGCTCCTTAACTGAAACCTGGTATTTCCTGAGATTTAATATCCCTGCACCCAGCCTGCTCCCCCAGAACAGAAGAGTCACATGAGAGCATTATCACAAGATGCACATGGATTAAGCCTAGGAAAAAATGGCTTTTTTACTATTGTTACAGTAGCCCCACCTTCAGAAACACCCCCACACTCACAGGACCACCTGGAATCTCCCTGTATGCAACACCCTGCCCTCAGCTTCTCAGGAACTCCCTTCACCAACCCCTTCAGCATTCCAGCTGGGGATACCCACAGCACCCAACATCCAGAGCTGCTGGATTATTCCCCCACTAAATGAACAAATCAAGGTATTTAGGGTGTGTAATTCTCTCCTGGGCTCTGGAGCTCTCACTGAAAAGCCCAAAATCCTTCACAGCAAAGGTTTGGAGCTTTTTTCATCTACATGACACCTACACTGTGCAGCAGAGTTAGGCCCTGCCTTCAAGGCAGGTGTGCTGCTCTTGCTGCTAAGAAATAGGGGAAAAAACCCCCACAAACACATTTTGTCTTCATGCAAATCAGTGATTACATAAAAGAGAAACTGCTGTGCAGTACATGCTGCCCAGGAAGGGGAAAACCTGGAGGTTAACTTTTAAGCTTGAAATTACCACTTCTGTGAAAACACCTGGTGCTGTTCAAGTCAGAACAATACCACAAATGCCAACACCAGCACAAAACTGGGATGAAAAGCAGTGTTCAGATTATTTGTCTCTCTGTAGCACAGAAATAGTTTTAATAAGATATAGTTGTATAGTTGAAATAGTTGTAATAAGATTTTATTGATGAAAACAAGGTGCTGAATATTATGGAAACCCAAGGATCCTCCAGCTGTTTAAATATTCCCAATTCTTGTTCTGCACAGACTTCAAGCTGGTTTCCATAAAAACCTCAAAGGCACACATCATCTTCACCAAGCATTCATTTCTGCTGTAGGAAAAGCTGGGGACCATGGATTTGTCTATTAGGACTGTACTGAATTGCAAGACTGAACTGAAGTTTGCTTAATGTCCACTTTCACCTGGGACTTTTATATCACAGACATTACCTACAAAAAAGCACTGAATTTATTGGTGCTTGATAAAAATCTCTGTTAGCATATTCTGCATGATATCCTATTGCTTAAATGGGTTTTGTGTCAAGTGCTGTCCAAACAGAACAAAAACTGCTTCAAACAAAACAAGGATGTTGTTTTAAAGTACTTGTACTCACCATTTATCACCCCTGCAATGAGGCTGGTTCTTATAATTGGAATAATTTTGATATTGTAGTCATGACCTATAAGGAAATTTCACTAAATCCCAGGAGATTTCTGACAGGTATTGTCTGAAGCAATTCCTTAAATTGTTTCTGTCCTTGCAGTGGATGGAACAAGTGGATGGAACAAGTGTCTCTCAGCTGTGGCTCCCACAGATCATTAGTGTCATTAGTCATTGGTTAATTGCACAGCAGCCTGGGTGAGTGAGCATTTCTCACACACTGCTGTTGGTGCCCCCTCACCACAGTGAGGGAAAACCTCAGACACCTCACTGTAATGTCAGGAACACCAGCACTCACCCACACCTACACCCTTCATAAATTCATTGGGATTCTTGGCCATTTGCTGGCTGTGTTGCCATCAAAGAGCAAGGAATTACAAATTACCACATAAATCATCCCTGCAGCTGGAGCTCAGAACATGTTATTTTTGGTGGTTCTTGTGAGATCATGAAAATGCATGTATGCATCTGTAGGAAGTGCAAAAAATGCCAAAACTAAGCAAACTTTTGCTACTGTAAAACCTCATTCTGGGGAAAGGAAATGCATTGACTGGGACAAAAGCATCCTCAATATTTATGATATTCCTGCAGCTGCTGAAATCTGCCCCATTGGCTTTTCTGGGAGAACACAGAGGTTGGCAGTGCCTTAAAAATTCCAAATTTTCCACAGCAAATGCTTCATGTTGCTCACCAGCTCAGTACACTAAGGAAGGGAACTGATTCTTTTGGGATATTACAAATACTATCAGTAGTAACACTGCTGTTCTTTAACAGGAAAACCCAAAATGAGCTCACTTTCTCCCCAGAGAGCAGCAGGAGGTGAACAATTAACACAGAGCCAAGAAATCAGCTTTTCTCAGGTTCTGGCCTGTGCAGGCTCTGCTCTTTGCTCATGGTAGATGTCACACCCTGCCTGCTGCAGAGGGTGATAGCTCTGTGCAAAGTCACACACCAAGATAAAAACCAGTAAAGCATTTTTGATACTTGAGTTCACATTGACCTTGCATCTACAGAGCTCTATAAAAACCATTTTGTGCTGAATACACCCAGTAAACAACAGCTCTGGGACAAATTTATGTAATCTGGGGGAGAAAGAGGAAGGAGAAAAATGAACAGAAAATGCACACAGACAAATAAGGACAGGAAACACAGTGAACAACCTCACTTGGAAGATGACTAATCAGGATTTTTGCTTTCTCTAATTACTGACAAAGAAACATAACCATGTTTTCAAAATGGATTGACAGTGATATTCTGGGTTAGTTTCCCAGAAATGGAAAGCACCCAAGCTTGTTACCATCTCTATCACAGCAGAGAGCTGACACCAAAACCAGCACTGACACCAAAAACTACTTTGTGCAGACCACACAAGGACAAGGAAAGTGCTCCATTAACTATTTTAAAGTATTTCCACTGAGAGCAGCAGATAATCTGAGCTCTGTTTCCTGATGAAGCAAATTAAAATTATCACAGAAATTCTCAAAGAAATCCTCAGGTTTTGAATTTTACCTAAAGAAAATACAAGACAACAAAACTAAGTAATGGGGGGGGTTTCAGCTGCACAGGTTTTATATGAAAAAGAGCAATATGTGATATGTCTGCTCCTGAAGATAAGACTAAGTTACACTAAGATAACAGTAACAGAAAAAAGAGACATGTTTTTAATACATATATGTAGTGGTTAAAGCATAGCCCAGATATTTCCACTACAAAATACACAGAAAAAACAAGAATACAAGTATAATTCAAACAGCAGTATTTAAACTTCAAACCAATAACAAAAGCAGATTGTGGGGATCACTGACTGCAACTCCTGATCACTCCAACATTTCTTTAATAAATGCAATCCACTTGAGTTATTTCAAAGCTAGCAAGAAGTGTTTTGCTATTTTTCTCAGCCTTTTGAAAAGCAACACTATGAACTTTAGGGTGGAGCTGATGAGGGTGTTGGGCAAAGGAGTTACTTTTATCTGCTTTTTGATATTTCTTTTTTAGGAATGTGACTTTTTACTTGAATTGAAATGGTGCTGTGCTAACAATGCAAAAGGTAAGCAGTGACTGCATGTTCTGTATCTGTGCAGGTTCTGCTCACACAGAACACATCCTGAGGGGCAAGGTTCTCAAAGTGAGACATCCAGCGAGTCAAGTCTGTGACATTTCATGTGAGAATTATTTTCCAAGTGTCAGACATATCCATCTCACAGCCATCACAAACAATGTCACTTGCTACTTTCTCCCAGGCAAGTTCTAAACTTTGCTTAAGGTAACAGAGGTTGTGGTTTAATTCTATCAAAGTTCCTTTAAGATTCTTTTCCATGAGGAAACACCCAGTTACACTTTGAGGTGTGAACACACAAGAAGCACCCACTGAACTCCTTTCACTTCTGATTCTCAATTCCAAGCACTGAAATGCACTCAGCATGACCAGTGACACTGGGAACAAACACTGTGTGCTTGAAAAGCAAATAAAAAATTTAAATTATGTAAGGCTCCCAAAGGAAGCCACCCTTTCCTGAGCTCCTTGGTGGTTCCAGTTGGAAGGGAGGGAAGGATGGATAAATCAGATCTCACCAGGGCAAGCAGAGGCAAACATTGGTAAGGCATGTTCCTCCTGGTTCCTCCGCTGGTAGCGCTGCACAAACTCCCTCTGGCTCTCCAGGATACTGAAATCTGCAGCTATGGTGGTGTCAAACACATAATGCACCCCTGGGGAGGCAAGCAGAAAGGAACAGGCAATCACCAGAATGCTGTTCCCCTTTCAAAGCTCCAGGCCTATGAAAAATCTTGAAGGATCAACAGGTATATTCCCTCCCCCTGCACATTTTCACAGTCATAAATAAAAGCCATACACTGAAAAAACATCTTCTACACCCTGGGTTTACAAGGACCACCAAGAGCACTGCAAACATTCTCAGCTTCCCTCTGAGCACTTTGCATTTGTCACTTTTAGCTCAGCTGAACAGATGTCACAACTCCTGCAGTGACTCTTGCAGAGAAATGTTCTTTTTAAGACATGCTGAAGTCACAAAAAATCCTATCCAGCTCAGAGGCACATCTGCCATTGCTGCAGGTGTTTGCAGAGCTGCAGGAGATATCAGCACCCCAGCAGGGCCCTGCTGGCCCTCACTTGGCAGCACACTCCCTGAGAGCCTACGTACCACTGAGCACATCCCCACAGAAGGGAGGGCAGATAATCAATGCATTCTAGGAAAACTGGGGCCCACCAGAACTCAGGAATGCTCTGAGATGAAATACACACACTGGGTACACAGATGTATCAGAAAAAACATGAAAAATGAATATATATATACAGAGAGAAGGAAACAGTTTATGGGTTTATTACTGTTCTTTTTTTTTCTTCAAGTAAATTTAAAAAATTCCCAAACTTACAAGGAAAGTGGCTATTGCTTTTTATCTAAAACTCTATATATACTGACCAAAGGAAATACAGCTTTAACATAAAATAGGCAGATACAACAGTTCTTGTAATTTCAAATTACAGCAAAAAAACAGAATGGAGAATCTCCTAGAGATACAATGTGTCAAAAGCACTGAAAGGAACTTCTTATTCAGAATTACCTTCTCCCTCAAGTTTCACAACAATGGGAAGCTTGTGACCAAGCCCTCCCTGACTTCTTGGTAGCCAAGGTTTTGGAGGCAGCTCTACAATGTCCCTGTGTTGTGTGACCTTTCCTCTGAGCAGGGAATGTCCCCAGTGTGTCTCTCACACTGCTGGAGGTGGCACTGGTGCCTGGAGCTCAAACTCTGAACGAGGTTGTGCAAGGGCACTTCAGCACTGTTTAACAAAACATCATGGAATGGAATCCCACCATTGGCTTTGCTTGGGAGGAGCCCTAAAGCTCATCCAGTGCCAGTCCCCCATGGCAGGGTCACCTTCCACTGTCCCAGGGTCACCTCCCACTGTCCCAGGAGCTCCCAGCCCTGTCCAGCCTGGCCTTGGACATTTCCAGGGATCCAGGGGCAGCCACAGCTGCTCTGGGAACCTGGGCCAGGGCCCCCCACCCTCATTTCTTCCCATTATCTAACCTAACCCTGCCCTGTTTCACTCCATGCCCGTGTCAAAAATGCTCTCCAGCTCTCCTGCAGCCCCTTCAGGTACTGGAAAGCAAATAAATCCCTCCCTTTCTGCTTCACCACCATAACAAATGCAAACTTACCAAGACTTTTGAGGAAACCACAGAGTCTCTTGGCTGCTTCATTCACAGAGAGATTGAATTTAGCAGCAAAATAAGGCAATGACTGAGGGCACAGAGACACTGCCAACACTTTGTGTTTTGAGGTATCACATTTCTGGTAAGTGAAACAAAGAGAGAGAGAAAAAAGTCATTAAAACAGGGTAAGGCTCCTTGTTTTCCCTTCCTTTCCCATTCCTGGAGTTATTCCTTAGAGTCTCATGCTTCAGTGGGCCACATCATTAAAAACCCTGTGAAACAAGCCTCAAGTGCAGCAGAACAGGATGTTCCTCTGATCCTGACAGTGCTCATCTGCAGTCATCTGTAGATGTCTCTTTTACAGAACTCAGGGGAAATCCATCTCTCCTAGGACAATTCTGTGCTTGGATTCCAGGTGGCACAAGGAAAGTTAAGGGACATTCAGCACCTCTGATGTTCTAGTAGGATGAAATATTCTAGCAAATAAGAAAAGAGCTGTGTGTTTAAACATTTACAAAGAATGTTTACAGAAGCAGGGGCATTCAAAGCTGTAAATACAACCCAGCAAATGACACATCTGATTTTTTGTTAAGGCTCCTGTGTCTTCATCACTGCAGTTGTGGAGGGAAAGTGGCAAGATGGGCAAGATGCAGCAAATCAGCACTGCAGGCACTGAGGAATGCCATGAAAGTAGCCAGGGTAGGTGTGGAACTGTGCAGCTCCAGTGACTGTGGCATTTAGCTGAAGATTTATCTTGTGTTTCAGCTGGGACATTTTCCACACCAGCACAACCCCTGGAAGACAAAGCAGGCCTGTGCCACAGACAAATGTCACCCTGCAAAGGTCAGAGCCCACAGCCTGCACTGATCCGACAACCCTGCAAGGAGAGCTCCTGGCTCAGAGGTCATCACTGCCCCTGCCTTGTGCTTGGGCCCCTGGAGCTGCCATAAAGGCACCTGACTGCCTTGCTGCTGTAGGATTTAGGCCCTCTTAACAGGACCCAAAATATTATTTTCCCCGCATTCTCTTCTAATTTTCTCATATATGACAACACCAATCTGTATGGACAGTAAACTCCTAAGAAAAGCTAAGTACTATGTAATTAACCCACATTTATGACACATATGTACAGATCAAGAAATTTCAATTCTGGTAGCTTTTGCACAGAAGTCTGGAGCAGAACTAAAATAATTAATTTAATATCAGGGTCTAAAGATCCAAGCACTACACACAGTAACTAACTTCTAGAAAAAACAGAACTCAGCAGAAAATAAAACAGCAATAGAACACTTACAAGGTTTGCTAAGAATATGGACAAAATGTAGTCAGGTTGAAAGTATATTAAACAAAATTCTAATTCTAACAGAATTCTGTTTAATTCTAATTCTAATAAAGAACATGTCTTTATAGGTGTGTATAATGTGGGTGTATTAGCACCAAAACCACCCAGAACAGTCCTAGCAGTGAAGGAATGAATATCTATAAACACTGAACTGCAGAATAATTTGTTAGTGCAGTAATGAAATCATCACATTGCCAATAAATTTTCCTTCTGCAGGTGCAGTAACTTTCCTCTGGTGTTTACATTAAGTGCTGTGACCTTGCAACTCCAGTACAAAATTATTTTAAGTACTTTTAACGTTTGTGTTGCCTGACTTGCTCTTTGGAAAAAGCATATCCTGACAAATCTTCACATTATCTGCCTTGGGAGACCAAGCTGCTTAGTCATTCTGTAACTGCCTCCTCCTCAGAGCCAACAGTGGGGCATTGTTTGGGTCACTTTACCTTGTTAAGGTTGAGAACACGAAAGAACTCCTTCTGATTCTGCTGGAAAACTCTGGCTCCTTCTTCCAATGTCATGCAGCTGTCACAAGCTAGGCAGTCGCTAAGGAGTATTTTAGCATTAGCCAATGTATCAAACTCATTTTTCTGGGGGCAAAAAAAGAAGTAAACAAGTATTTAGTAATGATCAAATGATTTTCAACATCTCTGCAAGCAACAGTATCCCTGTTTGGTTTAAAGCAGGATAATCCACAACACTTGCATAATATCCAAGATTATTTACAGGTAAACAAAACAATATGTTCCATCCCAATCATAGCTCTGCTCCTCCTATTACTGTGAAACTGCAAATGTTTAAGTGTAAACAAAAATCTAAATTTAGCCCCTAGTCCATATGCTAGTAACTTAATTTGCACTGTGCTTCAGAGCTGACAGTCCCCATCAACTCACCCAGCAACTGAGAAAACTTTCCCTTGAACTATTAAAGCCCTTTCACCAGATGTCCTCTAACAGCAAGGTGGCTCAGGCTTTGTAACACGAGGTAAAACAAAGAGAACACAGTCCTACAATTGCACTGAACATATTCTGTGAGATCAAGAGTTTCACACTATCTGCAGCTCACTTGAGAAAAAAGGAAAACTTAGATATAAAAAATAAATTGATATTTTGTCCACTTGTACTATCAAAACTCTGCTTCCTGTAAGTTCTGTCTCTGTTCTGAAGACTTGATATAAGAGCTTTGGCACTCTAAATTTTTAGAATTTCTGTTTTGTATTTGCATTGTAAGGGATTTTATTGCACCTTTTTGCAAGATTTCTGATTCACATATTAAGGGATGTCTACAAGAGCTCATCATTGTTTTCAACTGCTTGTTGTTTATTATACTTAGTAGTTGAAAGCTGTCTCCTTATAACCTCCTTTGGGACGCATAAAACAAAAGAATATAGTCTAATAGAGGTTTTAGAAGGAACATTACCTCTTCAGAGCCATCATTTGAACTCAATGCATCAACAGATGCACTTTGTGTATCGTCATTTTTCTGTTTTTTACTGCATTCCTGAAACAAAACATAAGATGTGCAGATTATGCAAAGCCTGTTCACCATTCTGTAAGAACACTTCTGCAGAACTCTTCATGCCATTAACCACGGACGGAGCTATTTACAGCGCTGTGGAGCACAGGCAAGACCCCGCGTTCAAAGTGCCATCGCTACGA